TAAAATATAAATAATCATAAATGGAAAAATATAGAAATCAATCACACAAAAAGGAGAAAATATGACAAACTGCAAAAACTATGTAATTATTTTCACTTGAGTGGCCTCAGATGCGGAATAATGCATTTATAATATATAAACAAAACCAATAAATAAAACGGACAGCCATTAATTTGTATGAATGTAAAGAATGCAGAGTCAAAACAAACCATCTAACTAAACATTTTTATTTCTAGTTCATATTGCACCAAAAACTCAGTACTTAAATTGTTTAATAGGGGATTTGTTTTATTCCCTTTTAGTGTTTGGCCATCAAAGTCCTACTTAATAGGTTTCTAACCAGAAAAAATCATTTCACAAAGGACTTATAATTCTTAACCAGTGTACATAACTTAAAAAATATATGTAAACTGAAGCAAGTCTTATGGGTATCTTGTGAAACCATACATCATACCTTTGGGACCTCTCAAATAACAATAATTTCAGTTTTTTTTTATATTTCTTCAATCACAAAACAATAATTGAATGCAAGAAAAAATAATGAAATAAATATTTATAATTTGAATAATAAAGCATTAAAAATTAATTGCATTTATAATTCATTCTGCTTATAAGACAAATATCTGCTGATTTTTTAACAAAAGATAGCAACAGTTCATCCAATGGTTTGCAGGATTGTAGTCTGAGGATTTTACCATACAAGGAAGGCAGCAACAGCAACTCTTTTGACTGAAAAAGAAACAAAGTTAAATTTCAATTGTTGATTCTTAATTTTAAAATAATCTAACAGGAATAAAGAAACAGACATCAGTGTATGTTAAACAATTTGTTTATTACTTAATATTGATTACTCAAAAATATATAGTATAAAAAATATCCGATTGTATTGTTATCTCCCCTTCATATATCTTCTTCAGATCTAGTATTTGCTTTAAAGGGTACATTATTTTAAAATGAAAAGATTGAATACTGATTTTTTTTAATTGTAAATTAAGAAAAAATATATATATTGAAATATATTTAGTGACATTCATCACACTATAACATAAACACATTAAAGTTGTATGTTGATGAATAAGTTCTCACCTTATAACAGCTTTATCCCAGCAAGTAACCCAATGGAAACCTGATGCTAACCTGGAATATAAAAGTTGTCAGTTATACTAAACTTTCCTAAAAAAAATTATTACACATGTACTAAATTTAAAATTGCACTAGGATAACAAAAAATTCGTAAGGGTTCCGCGGAACCCAGTGTCTCGCCTACTTTTTCCGTTAATCGCAGGCTCGTCAAAAATGAGGAAGTAAATCAATAAAAATATTCCACTTGATACTATCTTTTGATTGTAAGAAGCTTCAGTCCAAGTTTGGTAAAAATCCAGGATAGTTTATGAATCTAATAAATGTTTAAAAACTTTAACTGCAGACTGAATGTAATTTTATCTGGAAGAAAACAAAATTTCCTTCTAGATACTAGCATTTGATCATAAACAAGCTTTTGTCAAAGTTTGATACAAATCCAAAATAGTATAAGAAAGTTATTAAAATTTTAAAAACTTTAACCACAGAGTGAATGTGTTGTTTCCTGGCAGAAAATCTAAGTCCATTTAAAAGTAAAATAAGGAAAAAATGGATTTATTTTTTACAAAATTTACTTCTGAATAATATTTATGGTCATAAACAAGCTTCTGTCCAAGTTTGGTAAAAACCCAGGATAGTTTAAGAAAGTTATTAAAATTTTAAAAACTTTAACCACAGAATGAATGTAATATTTCCCGGCAGAAAAACTAAGTCCATTTATAAGTAAAATACGGAAAAAATGGAATTTTATTTTTACAATATTAACTTCTGAATAATATCTTATGATCATAAACAAGCTTCTGTCCAAGTTTGGTACAAACCCAGGATAGTTTAAGAAAGTTATTAAAATTTTAAAAACTTTAACCACAGAGTGAATGTAATGTTTCCCGGCAGAAAAACTAAGTCCATTTAAAAGTAAAATACGGAAAAAATAGATTTATTTTTTTACAAAATTTCCTTGTAGATACTAGCTTTTGATCATAAACAAGCTTCTGTCCAAGTTTGGTACAAATCCAAAATAGTATAAGAAAGTTATTAAAATTTTAAAAACTTTAACCACAGAGTGAATGTGTTGTTTCCTGGCAGAAAATCTAAGTCCATTTAAAAGTAAAATAAGGAAAAAATGGATTTATTTTCTTACAAAATTTACTTCTGAATAATATCTTATGATCATAAACAAGCTTCTGTCCAAGTTAGGTACAAACCCAGGATAGTTTAAGAAAGTAATTAAAATTTTAAAAACTTTAACCACAGAGTGAATGTAATATTTCCCGTCAGAAAAACTAAGTCCATTTATAAGTAAAATACGGAAAAAATGGAATTTTATTTTTACAATATTAACTTCTGGGTACTATCTTATGATCATAAACAAGCTTCTGTCCAAGTTTGGTAGAAATCCAGGATAGTTTAAGAAAGTTATTAAAATTTCAAAAACTTTAACCACAGAGTGAATATTTGTGGACGCCGCCGACGCCGACGAACTGTAGGATCGCTATGTCTCGCTTTTTCGACTAAAGTCGAAGGCTCGACAAAAATCATGGAAAAAATATTTGATATTCTGAATTATAAACTCAAGTTTTATATTTATCAAAAAAATTCAACCGGTATCTCATCAGTGAAAAATTATTTTTTTGGTACTTATATAAAAGAACCTTATGAAATTGATTTCAAATATTATATTACTAAAAAGATGCTTGATTAATTACCAACATGTTAACAATATCAGACATCCAAGTCTTACTCCCAACACCATGAAAACATCATCATTATAACAACCTAAATATAAAAAAAATAAAAAAATAATTACTTGTTTTACAGATCAATCTGTCTCTAAGAAGACTAACAAAATAGTGCTATGTTTCATTTATTAAAACCTGTTATACATTATCATCTTCACTATATAAACTTTAAACTGCTAGAGATAGAAATTGACCTTGTGCAAGTGCATGTATAATTGTATAAGACGATGATTTTGGAATATTCAATTACAAAATCGGATGGTTTTTGTTCTCTTTTGATGGTTCTTAAAATCATTTTCATAACAGCGTAGACAACCCCAATACTTATGTTGGTAATAATACTAACTCAATTACTGTAAATTCAGAAACTATTGCAATGTTTTTATTATTGCGAAAAATGCAACATGGTTGTATTGGCAATAATTTAAACTAGCATTTTGAAATTTTTTATATGAATTAAACAGGATTTTTCTCAATATTTCGCAAAAATTAAAATCGCATTTTAGTCTAAAATTACAAAATCGCAATTAATGAATGGTTATTATTTATTTTGAATTTATTGAACCATAAAATTAATTTTTGACTCTTCACATTGAATGATTATGTAAAATGTGAAGAGTCAAAAATTAATTTTATGGTTCAATAAATTCAAAATAAATTATAGCCATTCATTATAAATAAATTTCTATCAAAAATAAGGCTCAAAGAACTTTTTATATTATTTATATTAACCATAACGTACACGGATGTTGTTGTATGAATATACAACGTCAGAGTGGGCGTGTCGCCATAAAAATTGACAACATTGAAAATAAAAGAAATACTTTTAACCAATCAGAAGACAGTAAATACACCAAATTTATTTATTAATAATTTCACGCAATAATTTCTGAATTTACAGTACCTAAACTTTTTTGCTATTGGCTATCGATAACAGTGATTTTACGCTCACTCAGTCAGAGGCCTTCCAATAGGGATTTAAATAGAATAAAAGAGCAAAGTACATGTAGGCACAAGAGAAGAAAAAAAGAAAATAATTATTCAACATTTAAATCAACACACAAGGTTTAGTCCTCTGCTAGTAATTCGTACTATTTGATGAAGGCATTTAGAACCTTTGGCGACCCCAGTTTAAATGTCTATAACAAGTGGGCATTACAAACTTTCACCTTATCTGACCCAGTCAATAGATAACATAAGAGTGCCAAGAAATCGTCTTGTCCACGCTTTTATGAAAATGATTCTATATCAATTCAATATTTAAACAGTTACAGACTTTGCATAAAAATTTGTTCGACCCAAATAAGTTTACAAATTCATTGATAATAACTTGCATACAGTTGGTTTCTATCCAACACAGCTCACTCGATACCAGACAGAAAACAAATGTAAGACTAGATAATCTAAAAATCAAACACTGATAGAAAAGAACCCTAAAAAAAATAATGTTAAATGCCTATATATATATTATTACCATAAAATTTGTGGAATATATAAACTTACCACATATTTTTCATGGTAAAGCCTCAGACTTGGTGAAGATTAAATTGACCATCTCCCTTAGAGCTGCTCTCCCGCTGACAAAGGTGGCTCTCCTCGTCATCTTAACATCTTTTTTTTTTAAATATAGTTTTATACATTAAATATATCAGATGCATTTCCAATAAGTCCCCTTTCTTGAAAATTTCAGCAAATCAATTGTTAATGACCCAAGATTTCTCCCACCCTGCATACTTATTATCTAGAGCTCTGCTTACATTTATTTTTTTTTATTACAGAGCTCTAAATAATAATCAATATTAGCTAGTATACATCTGATATTAAAAAAAAAAATGTACAAACATGAATAACCAAGTAGATGAAAATCCTAACATTGACGGAATTTCAAGTATGTGGAGTTAAACAGGGGTATAATAAATTGCCTCCCTTTGACCCAAATTTCACCCTGTTCGGACTCCACATCCTTGTTATATTAAACAAAATAAATAAAATAGTACAATTAAAATTAAAAAATAGATTGATAACAAAAATCTAACACATTCAATAAAATATTTCGTACTGATAGACTTATGGTGGCAAGAGTGGTCCTATAAGTAGTTCAACTACTGTATCACTAGCCTGTCAATTCTGAGAACCCTCACATGAAATGTGTAACTTCATTCTTAATTTGACTATGGTTTGCCCGTTTCCCTGATGAAGGTGATGTTTTCACCAGGCACTCTGGCTGTCTCCATAAATAAAAGTTTACAGCCAAAATTATAGTAAATCATGTTAAAGTGGTGTTTAACACCAAAAATCAACCAATCCAATTTCAACAAGATGTTCCTCAACTATGCCTTTTGTAAAATTATTCTTTAAAAAAATATCACCTTGGTTACAAACCAAAATCAGCTAAAAATGACAAAAAAAGTGCAAAAAATATATTTCTAACTTCTTAACTTCGTAAATTCCTCTGCATTAGAGCACCCTTGTCACATATCTTAAAGATATTAAAATTAACATGAAAGAAAAGGTTGTAAGGGGATATATTTACTGCAGACCATTATTCATCTTTTTAGTTTACACTAAAGAGGCATTTGCTATGGTAAGGTATTTTGAAACGTTGCTAAAAATAACAAAAATAATTAAAATTTTTGCTAAGAAATTTAGTGGGAATATTCACATCGGCAGATTTAATTGCATTAACTACATGTATAAAGTAACTTGTAAAATTTTAAAGTATCTCAAATCCTAAAATAACAAAAAGATGGCAAAAATATATACATTACAATTTGCCAAAAAAAAAATACATTTCAATAATTGAACATTTTTTTTCTTTTTTCTTTCTTTTTCTTTTAGATTATCCATTCTTAAACTGCTGGAAGTGTTTTGACTAGACATGAGTATAAATGGAAAATAGAAAGAATTTTTGTAATGTCAAATACAAGTTAACCTACAACTTCCAATCTTGTTGAAAATAGAGAATCTTTACATATTTTTTTTTTTTTTTTTTGTAAAAAAATTATAAACATTTTCTCAAGCATACACAAAAATAGTCTGAATTACATTCTTTACTGTTGCAGTTATATCACACAACCATTTTATGCAGCCACAGTTATCTGAAAAAGAAATATACATTACTCATGAACATTGAAATAATATTTAACGCAAAACAATTATAATTAACTGAGCATTACAATTATAATGTATAGAACATTTCTTTTTCTTTGTTATAAAGTGATTTGTTGACATAAATTTTAAAGTACCAGTATTTCTTAGCAATAAAAGGATGAAAAAAAAGTCATTGGCTTACTGTCTTGACAAATATCTTTTTAACATTGTTTTATAGCTATATATAGTATATCAGGCTATTAACATACTTGATTGAATTTTTTAACATTTAGTCATGTTGAACCTTTATAGCTAACTATACAATATAGGTTTTGCTCATTGTTGAAGGCATAGGGTGACATTTAGTTGCATCCACATCATTTGGTTTCTGGTTGATAGCTGTCTCATTGGCATACATACCACACTTACATATTTTCATATATGGGGACAACTATAGATAACAAAAAAACTGAAATCCCAAGATTTCGCATTATACATTATACTTTTTGACTTCCCTTATATATCTTTATTTCTCCTTCTAAATTGTTTATTCAACTATAAGTAAAGAAGACATTAATATGTAAGATTTACATCTGTGACTAACAAAAATCTTGGGCTTTAAAATGCTCTTGGATGAAAAGTTCATAAATCTATGTATTGATTCTTACCATAAAAGTCAGTTCCAATGCCCACTCCCAGCTTCAATCCTTACAGACAAGCTGTGATGCTAACCTGAAATATAAAATGATAATTCATTAATAAAACCCTGTAACTCATTAACGTAAAATCTAAAATTTATAAAAATCGAAAGGGAGCTCATGTCAATAGATATAAACAATTCACCACAATTTCTTGCAAGTTGGTGAAAGCATTCTTGAGTTTTGTCTGAATACTGGAAAACCCTCCTTTTTTTAATGAATAAAACCTCATAACTCGGAAACGTAAAATCTAAAATTTATAAAAAACGAAAGGGAGCTCACGTCAATAGATGTAAACAATTCACCAAAGTTTCATGCAAATTGGTTAAAGTGTTTTTGAGTTAATGTCCGACATGTTGACGAAGGACGGACGGACAACAGTATAGCATAATAATACCGTAAACGGGCGTATAAAAACTGTTTAAAAGGTTCTTTGTTGGTATTATGTATGTATATTAAATAGATTGAATGATTGGTTGTTGGTTGCTTGAGGTCCAGTGGCAAATCATTAAATAGAAATAGTCTTAAAATGTGTTATATATGTCAAGAACATATGGATGAGACAGCAATCCAACAAGCCAACACATTTTTATGTAAACAATTCAGATCCTAAACTTTACTCTTATTTGGTTACTGATATAATAATAAGAGTAGATTCCTGTAAAAAATCTTTTAAGCGTTCAAATCTTGTTTTTCCATAAAATATTTATAATACATTTGAGTTTTCCAAAACAGGACTAACATACTGGTACATACCTTTGTATTAGCTGTATAAGACCACCAAGTCTTATTCCCACACCATGAAAACATGTCTCAGAAAGAACCTGAAATGAAATTATAATCAACACATTATACATTTTGTAAATTAATTTGTGTGTTACCGATAACCTAAAATTTACTAAATATTGTTCTGATTTCTTATTGCAGGTAGACAATTGTATGAAATCATTTTTTTTTTAAATCAATATAAAAGATATAAAAGTAAAAAAATGTCAGATTTAAATTTAACTGCACAAAAAATATCTGAATATTTTACAGAGTTATCTCCCATTGAAAGCAAAATCGTGTTTCAAATTGTACTGGTCTTTTCTTGAAGTTTAATGACTATTTTTAGGATTTACTATTGATATTTTAATAGAAAATCTTGTTCATGTATCTTGTATCATTAAATACTAAACTGGTAAATTAATTCATCAATGGTGTTTTAAATGCAATATTTCAGAAGGGTCTGTTATCTTAAAAGATCTGGCTAAAATAAACTTGCCTTTTCTATTTTCATGGTAAAGAGTCCGACTTGGTTGAAGATTTAATTGACCATCTTCCTAAGAGCTGCTATCCTGGCTGACAAGGTGGTTCTTCTCAATATCTTATTGTCAATCTATGTTGTGTCCATTTGTTTTTAGAAAATAAAGTAACATACATAAAAAAATTTCAGATGCACTTTCAATTAATAAACTTTTTGAAAAATTTCACGTAATTATTTTAAGTGACACATAATTTTTCCCACCCTAAATTTCTATTATCTAGAAAACATCTGATATGTAAAAAAGTGCATAAATGTGAGTATCCAAATAAATTAAAATCTAACATTGAGGGAATTTCAAGTATTTGAAGTTAAACACAGTATAATAAATAACCTCCCTTTGACCTAAATTTCACCCTGTTAGAACTCCACATCTTTGTTATATATAACAAAAAAAACATAAATAGTATACGGTAATCAAAATAAAAAATAATTAAATTACAAAAATTCAACACATTTCAATAACATATTTAGTGCGGATGGAGTAATGGTGGCTGAACGGTCAAAGTAGTTCAACTACTGTATCACTAGCCTGTCAACACTCTGAACCCTCACATTGTAGGTGTGTTTAACGTCAATCTTAATTGACTAGAGTTGCCAGTTTCTCTGTTGAAGGGGATGTTTTCACCAGGCCGTCTCCACAAATAAAAACTGGCAGCCAAGATATAGCAAATCATGCTGAAAGTGGTGTTTAATACCACAAATCAATCAATTTACTTTCATCAAGATATTCTTCAACTATGCTTCTTGTAAAATATTCTTAAAATAATATACCCTTCGTTATAAACTCAGCTAAAAATGACACAAAGGTGAAAAAATATATTACAATTTGCAAAAATAAAAAACATTTCAATAATTGAACATTTTTTTCTTCTTTTTTTTCTTTTTTTTTTTTTTAGATTCTCCATTCTTAAACTACTGGAAGTGTTTTGCCTAGACATGAGTATGAACAGAAAATAGAAAGTAGTTTTTGAAATTTCAAAGACCTATTAACCTACAACTTCCAATCTTGTTGAAAATGGAGAACCTGTACATAATTTTTTTTTTCTATTTGTAAAAATTATAAACATTTTCTCAAACATACACAAAAATAGTCTGAATTACATTCTTTACTGTTACAGTAAAATCACATAGCCCAATTATGCAGCCACAGTTACCTGAAAAAGAAATATACAGAATTAAACGTAATTGTCAAAATCTGAAAATTGAAACAATATCAAATGCAAAATAATAAATAACTGGTCATTATAATCATGATTCATAAAACCTTTCTCTTACTTTGTTTAAAAGTGATTTGCTGATATATTTTTTGAACTACCAGTCTTTATTAGCAGAAAAGGATGAAAAACAAGTCAATGGTAGATTTCTAACATATTTCTTTTTTTACATATTGTTTTTTTTGTATTGGTTCTTACCATAAAAGTCAGCTCCAATGCCCACTCCCAGCTTCAATCTTTACAGACAAGCTGTGATGCTAACCTGAAAAATAAAATTAGTCATTCAAGATTGTTTAAAAGGATCATTTTTGATATACTGTATGTATATTCCATATTTTGAATGATTGATTCATTTGATTGTTGGTTGCTAAATGTCCAGTGGCAAATTAAATAAGAGTCTATAAATATGTAATAGAAGTTGAGAACAGCAAACCAGCATCCCAACAAACTTTTACATAATCAAATCAGATAATTAAATTTAATCCTTTAAAGGCAATTAAAGAAAGCAAAAGACTTCTTACAAAACTCCTACAAACCTTCACGCTTAGAGCACATGCTATTTCCAAATACATTTTATAATACTTTTTCTTTTTTCAAAACAGGACTAACTGGTACAATGTACATACCTTCGTATTAGCTGTATTAGACCACTAAGTCTTATTCCCACACCATGAAAACATATCACAGAAGAACCTAAAAAGAATTAAAAAAGACACATTATATATTTTACAAATCCATTTCTCTATAAATATAGTCACTATATAATGTTCTGATTTCTTACAAAATGTACACAATAGTAAACACAAGTTTGTAAGATAAACTGTTGACAGAGATGTCTTGCCTAGCAGCGGAAAATGAAAAACATCTGATGATTAGCAACATTGCTAATTAATTCGATAATTTGTTAGTAATGCAAATAAATACAAAATGTCATTGATCTATAGCAAGGAGTAACTTTTAACCTGACTAAACAGAAAACTTGACATAATAAAAATAAAACAAGTCAAAGGTTTTTGTTTGGAATTTAACTGCACAAAAGTGATGTGCAAATTTAACAGTTATATCCCATTGAATGAACAAATCTTGCTGTTAATTGTACTTGTCTCCCCTTGAAGTTTTAAATATTTTGATCGAAAATCTTGTTCAAGAAAATGGTAACTTAAATTATAAAACCTTATTAAAATTAATACATCAATGGTGTTTTGCATGCAGAAGATCAGAAGGGTGCTGGCGTGTTGTCTTAATATGCACTTTTTGTCGAATATTTCTAGAAAATGTATACAAATATTTGGCTTAAATAAACTTGCCTTCTTAATTTCTTGGTAAAGCCTCAGACTTGGTTGAAGATTTATTTGACCATCTTCCTTGGAGCTCAGCTATCCTGGCTGCTTTCAAAGGTTTTCCATCATAGTTTTTTATGCTAATCAGTCCACTGAATCCATTTTATCTAAGTAATGAAATGTCCTTTCCATTGTACATTATAAAATGTACAATAGTCACCAGAATGTTCCAAGGCATCTCACATTATTTTTCCAATCATGGAAACTGAAGAAATTCTCAATTTAAAATACAAATAATTTATTAAATTCATTTAAAAAGTACTGTAAAAATACCAGACATGCTAAATTTAAACAGGTAACTTGTATTTTGATAATTTACGAAATGTATTCTGTACCCCACAATTTCTTCCACTCATTAAAAGTATATTTTAGAACTATGTTTACATTTTTTTTTATTTACAGAGCTTTTGATAATAGCTTTTATATAAGTTACCAGACATCTGATATGAAAATACTTATACAAATGTAAGAAAAAAAGTACAGTGTAGTAATAGTATAATAAACACACATAAATCAACATTTTTTAAATATTTTGAAGCATAGTTTAATCAAAAATATCTCATTTTCAAGGTTTACTACTCATGTACATAGTAGTCATGTATAGTCCGAAAATTTGTAAAAGCCTCTATAGATTTGCAAACTCTCTGTGAATTCCAAAAGATATGGGTTAAAAACTATTTATTTTACCTTTGATGAAAAAATTACTTAGTTCCCGAGTCAGGAAAAAAATTATCAAACAATTCCATAGTACCAAGTGGACAACTTAGATATTTGTACAATCATTGTGTGAAGTTTAAAAGATTGAGATTGAAAACTGCAGGAGTTGATTACACAAAATCAGTACCATCTTTGAAAATTTTGGAAAACAATCATCAAGATCAGAATTAAGGGAAAAATGGGGGGAAATTCCTCAAACAATTTCATATAAGCATGTACGCAATTATTCTGTGAAGTGTCAGTGGTACAAGAAAAAGAAGCTGAAATGAAAAAATACAAATATGATGCAAAATGATATTACATGTATCAAGTATGAAATCTTTAGATTTAATAAAAAAAATTAGAAAGAAAAAATTAAGAACTCAAAGAAATGATATAAATACTGATTCTTTATAATAAAAATTAATTTCAATACTTTATAATTTATATTAATTTCAAAACTCAAATGGCACGTAATACTTCAATAAAATAGATTTTTACTTTTTACTTTAGTTTTATACTTGAAAGAAAAATAGTAGCAAAATTTACAATTGAAAAAGTAAAATTTTTTGTTCCCAGATTATTTATGATAGCATTTTTGATTGGTTATATCAAAATTTGTTTTATGTAAGATTACTTCCAACGACTTTTGTCAAAAAAAAAGGAAAATCACTGATATCTTGACAATAATGGACCGAGTCGAGGTAACTGCACTCTCCGGAATCATTGGTTCCTTAAATGGATAAGAACCAGAAGCAGCCAATATACAGACTTACAGGAATCAGCTCTTTTTTGCTACCAGGAAAAGAAAACAGATTACCAGTTAAATCTAAAATAGTCTGGTTATCTTTAACTTTTTTAGTGATTAAATCCCCAAAGTCTGAAACAGGGTCTAATATAAATCTAAAACTGCTTGGTTAACAGAACTGATTGTATGCTATCGCTCAGGCAAAAATAATCACGTATATAATGCCTACCAATGTTAAAATTACAATAAAGTATAGCTTGCAACAATTATTTCTTAATTACTATGGACTAATGGAAAACTCCTTTGAACTAATGAGGCTCAAGTTGGATCCCTGTTAAAGAGTCAAGCTCTTAGATTACTCTTTGTCTGGCCATGAGTTTCAAAAAGGATCCAATGAAGAATAGCTGCAGTCAGTTATTGATAATTGGGTTTTACTTATTTTATTTTTTTAAAGTATTTTATGATGGCAAGTGCTTTACCTATATTGTAATTACCAAATTTGAAAAAGATAGAATGGTTTGATACCAAGGAG